ATTGTGGCAGCACTTTTTGTGATTATAAAGAATTGGAGGGGCAGCTAAGTGGCACAGTGGATAGAACACTGGCCCTGGAGTCAGGAGGACCTGAGTTCAAATCTGGCCTCAGACACATGACACTTACTAGCTGTATGACCCTGGGCAAGTCACTTAACCCCATTGTCTAGCTCCCCCATCAAAAAAAAAATTGGAAACAAAGTAGATGTTCATTGATTGGGGAAATTGTGGAACATGAACAAAATGGTAGATGGTAATGTGTTGTAAGAAATAATATGGGCGACAGAGTCAAGATGGAAGTGTGAAAGCAGCATTTTGCTAAGTTCTCAAAACATAACTCCTCCAAAACAACCCAGGACCAGATGGATTTACCAGCAAACTCTACCAAAAATTTCTACCAAATTCTACCAGATATTTAAAGAACAACTAATTTCAATATTATATAAACTGAAAAAAATTAAATAAACTACCTGCAAGGAGATTACAGCAATTTACCAGAAAGATCATACATTCTTACTGAGTTAGATTTATACCAGCAGTACAGGGTAGGTTCAATATTAGGAAAACTATAAGTGTTATTGATCATGTCAGTAACAAAACCAACAAAAATCAATGATTATATCAATAGATGTGTAAGAAGTTTTTGACAAAATACAACACCCATTCATATGAAAAATATCAGAAAACATAGAAAAAATGGGGCTTTTCTTAAAATGATAGGTAGAATTTATCTAAAACCAAGAGCAAGCATTGCCTGTATTAGGGATAAACTAGAAGCCTTTCCAGTAAGGTCAAAGGTAAACCAAGGATGTTCATTTTCACCATCATTATTCAATAATTGCTCTAGATATGCTACTGATAGCAATTTTAGAAGAAAAAGAAATTGAAGGAATAAGCATAGGCAATGAGGAAACAAAACTATCACTTTTTGCAGATGATATGATGGCTTACTTGTAGAACTCTTGAGAGTCAACTAAAAAGCTAATCAAAGCAATTAACAACTTTAGCAAAGTTGCTAGATACAAAATAAACCTACACAAATCATAAGTATTTCTCTGTATTAACTCTAGCAGGAAGAGATGGAAAGAGAAATTCCACTTAAAGTAATTGCAGATAGTTAAAAATACTTGGAATTCTACCTGCCAAGACATACATAGGAACTTCATGAACACAATTGCAAAACCTTCACACTAATGAAGACAGGTCTAAAAAATTGGAAAAATATTAATTGCTCCTAGGTGGGCCAAGTCAGTGTAATAAAAATGGCAATACTACCTAAATTAATTTACTTATTTTGTGCCATATCAATAAAGTTACAAAAGAATTATTTTATTGAGCTAGGGAAAAAAAATAAAAGAATTCTTTTGGAGGAACACAAGGTCAAGAATATCAAGGGAATAAAAAAAATTCACAGGAAGGAGGCTTAAAGTAGAAGATTTCAAATTATATTAGAAATTGGTAATCATGAAAACAATTTGGTACTGCATAGGAAATAGTGGTTGATCAGTGGAATAGGTTAAATACACAATGTACAGAAACATGAGCACTGTAACTTGGTGTTTGACAAACCCAAAAATCCCAGCTCTTGGAGCAAGAACTCACTATTTGACAAAAACTGCTGGGAAAACTGGAAAGCAGTATGGCAGAAACTAGGTACAGACTAATGTCTCAAACTGTATATCAAGCTAAGCTCAAAATGGGTCTGTGATTTAAAGGGTGATCTGAGCAAATTAGGGAAGGATGGAAAAAATTACCTGTCAGATCTATTGATATGGGAAGACTTCATGACCAACAAGAGATAGAGAGGTTCACAGGAAGTAATATTGATAATGTTGATTACATAAAATTAAAAAGTTTTGGCACAAATTTATTGCAGGCAAAGTTAGAGAAAAGCAGGAAATTGGGGGAAAATTTTTTTTTACTGCAAGTTTCTCTGATAAAAATCTCATTTTTCATATATAGAGAACTGAATGAAATTCATCAAAATAAGAGCCATTCTCTAATTAATAAATGGCAAGGGATATGATCAAGGAGAGGAAGAAATCAAATCTATCAATAATCATAAAAACATGCTCTAAATTAGTAATAATTATAGAAGTACAAGTTAAAACAATTCTTTAATTTAAAAAAATTAAAACAAAAAATCTCACACATATCAAATTGGCTAAAATGGCACAAAAGGAAAATGACATGCTAGAGGGGATATGGGGAAATAGGTACAGTAGTGTACTGTTGGTGAAGCTGTGAGCTAGTCCAACCATTCTGGAGAACAGTATAGAATTATGGCCAAAGATTTATAAAACTATGCATACTGTTTTAGATCTATAGCCCAAGGAGATCAAAGAAAAAGGAAATGACCCATATTTACACAAATATTTATAGCAGCTCTTTTTGTCATGGCAAAAATTGGGAGTTGAGGGGATGCCCATCAATTGGGGAACAGCTGAACAAATTGTGGTATATGATGTGATGTGAACTATTGTGCTGTAAGAAATGATGAAGGGGATGGTTTCAGAAAAACTTGGGAAGACATATGAACTGATGCTAAGTGCAGTGAGCAGAAGTAGGAGAACGGTGTACATAGTAACAGCAATATAAGGATAGTCAACTGTGAAAGACTTTGTGATTCTGCTCAATACTCTGACCCACCACAAGAACTCATGATGAAAAATACTATCCATCTGTAGTTAGATAACTAGTGGACTCAGGTTGCAGATGGCAACATATTTTTCCCCTTTATTTTTCTTGCTTTTTATCTCCCTGGAACATAATTAATGCGAAAATATTTTGCCTATATATATATAATGGGCATCATATTTTGCCTTCTTGAGGGGTGGAGGGTGGAGAAAGGGAGAGAATTTGGAACTGAAAATAATAATAAAAAAGAAATTATATGTGAAATGAACAGAGAAGCATGGAATGATCTACATGAACTGATGCAGAATGAAGTAAGCAGAGCCAAGAAGCAGTATACACAATTTAAAAAATGCAAATGGAAAGAATAACCGCACAGCAAAAAGTCAAAAATGAATGTAGCAAAATTATAAAGATCAAGCAAGACTCAAATGAAGAGATAGGAGAGGACACATCCAACTCTCCCCTTCATGGAAGTAGGAGGTCCACAGGTGGTACACATTGCATATGTTTATGACTTTTTAAATGTATTGATTGGTTATGTTGATTTTTTTTTCCCTCTTTTTAAAAAAATACTAATAGTTCTATGGGATGGCTCTGGGGAAGTATGAAGGCTATTGAGGAAAACTATGATGATGTAAAAAAATAAGACACCAATAAAATCCTATTTAAAAAATAATACCGGTAGGAGCAGTGGGATCAGGAAGGGTCAGACGGGACTGGAGTGACAACCACCAGTAGGACCTACCTTACTGGATTGTTGTAAGACTCAGATGAGATAACATATGTGAAGTAAGCCTTAGAGTGGAAATACACACACATTTATTATTGCTCATTTTGCTTTATTACTGCTTATTTGCTTAATACCAATAATTACCTATTGCTATTATCACCTTCACTGGAGTGTAGTTCCTAGAGGGCAGAGACTATGTTTCCTTTTTTCTATTTCAAGCTCACTCAACCGTTGAACTAGTTCTCACACTGGAAGTAACCTCTGCCTTAGAGGCCCCATATTCTGATTGGCTGGTTCCTCTCAGAACGTCCAATTTAAAAATGAAACCCAAGTCAAAGATGTCTTCATTCCTCTTCAGTCTGCACTGTTGACTCAGGTCCAAAGGACTTTTCTCTGCCATGATCCTGCCCACCAGTTACAATAATGCCTAGATTATTGTAATAGCCTGCTGGTGGATCTGCCTGGCTCCAGTCAGTCCATCCTCCGTTTAGCCACTAAAGTGATTTTCCTAAATCGAAGGTCTGATCATGTCACCTCCATACGCAACAGACTCCAGCAGCTTCCTGTTGCCTCCAAGAGCAAATACAAAATGCTGTGATTGGCATTCGAAGTCCTTCACAACCTAGCCCCCTCCTACCTTTCCAGTCTTCTTACACCTTACACACATTCTTCAATTCAGTGGCACTGGCTGTTTCACAACCAAGACTCTATCTCTTGGCTCCAAGCATTTTTCCTTTCTCTCCTTCATGCCTAGAACACTCTCCCTCCTCCACTCCAACTACTGATCTCCCTGGTTTCTTTTAAGTCTCAGCCAAAATCCCACCTTCTGCAAGAAGCATTCCTTAACCCCTTTTAAATCCAGTGCTTTTTCCTTTTAATTATTTTCTATTTAACCTGTATGTATTGCTTTGTATGTATTTGTTGCATGTTGCCTCCTCCATTAGTTTGTGAGCTTCTTGAGGGCGGGAACTGTCTTTTGCCTCCTTTTGTATCCCCAGTGCTCAGCACAGTGCCTGCTGCTTAATAAATGTTTATTCATTACTTGAGTCCTGACTCAGTAATACCATCCCCTGCACCCTCAGCTTCCCCAGCAGAGTATATTGCTTGGTTTTTTGTTTTGTTTTATTTTGTTTTTGTTTGTTTGTTTTTTAGGCAATTGGCATTAAGTGACTTATCCAGAGTCACACAGCTAGTAAGTGTCAAGTGTTTGGTCTGAGGCCAGATTTGAACTCAGGTCCTCCTGACTTCAGGGCTGGTGCTCTATCCACTGCACCACCTAGCTGCCCCCATGAGCAGAGTATATTGCAAATAGGGATAGTGTAAGGACCCAAGTATATTCAAATAGGGATAGTGTAAGGACCCGACCAGTGATTTCATTGATATGGGGAACCCACAGGTGAGGAAACTCCCTCAACATGTAGGTGAGTGCCTTCTTTGCAATTTACAGCTTAGGAAGTTGCCTGGAGCAACCCAGAGGTTGTGACTTCTTCAGAACCACACAGATAGTGTGTGTGTCATAGGAAGATTTGAACCCAGGTCTTCTTGACTACAAGTATACTGCCACCTGCAAATAGTAGGTGCTTAATAAATGTTTGTGCGCAGACGCTTGACGTTCTGTTGTGTTCTTGTTCAGCGATATGCAGAATGCGACTGCTGGCTCTTTTGCTTCTGCTTTTGCTGCCCTGGTGCTGTGCCCCACAGAGCTGGTGAAGTGTCGACTACAGACCATGTACGAAATGCAGACATCAGGGAAGATAGCAGAAAGCCAGAAGTAAGTTCCATTAGTGCGGATCCACAGCACTTCCTTGTCACCTTGGGGTAGGAGGGGGGTGGTGGTGAGTCTTGTGTGTTGGATGCTCTGTGTGCTGGTGGGAAGGGGGCAAAAGTCTCTGGACATTGCTGCAAATATATCAGATTAAAAAGTGAACACAGAAACAAACCTACTTTATCCTAATTTGTCCACTCTAAAATATATTGATTTATTTAGAAAGCATCAGCTTTCTGTCAATGAGATTTGTAGAACAACCTTATTTTCTGTACTCTTTAAGACATTTAATTTGCCTTGATGCTAGAAAAAGCTTACCAGGGATGGGGAACCTTCTACCTTGAGACCACTCATGGCCTTCTAGGTTCTCACAGTCCTTTGACTGAATCCAAACTTCTCAGAACAAATCCCCTTAAAAAAAGGATTTGTGAGGCAATTGGGGTTAAGTGACTTGCCCAGGGTCACACAGCTAGTTAAGTGTCAAGTATGTGGTCTGAAATCAGCTCTTAACCCTTTCTTGAAAGAAAGGTCTGAGGCTGGATTTGAACTCAGGTCCTCCTGACTCCAGGGCTGGTGCTCTATCCACTGCTCCACCTAGCTGCCCTAAGATATTTTTAAAGAAAATAATTTGAGGTGTGATAGAAGGTGTTGATGAGAATGACTGATATAAAAGAAAAAAGTAAATAAAATTAATTTCTTTTAAATTACTTCAATTTCAAAGTAATTGTTTTTTAAAAATGATTTAAATAATTCAGCTAGAAGAGTAGTCTGTTCTTTCCCCTTATATGTAATATTGGGGGGCCATCTCCAATCATCCTGATCTATATCTCGCCAGACCCAGATGGCTCTAGAGGAGAAAATGAGGCTGGTGACCTTATATGGTCTTCCTTCACTTGAATCCACTTCATTTGCAAGTCATGGCATCACCCTCCTGGTGTCCTGGTCCACTTCCAGAGTGAAGGACAAATAACAGCAATAACAATGTAATATTGAACACCATATCAAAAAAGGGGGTGTCAGGGGACAGGAATTGAAATATTTTGTATCTCGGAAGAGAAATGTCCCAACCATGAGAGGTTATATAGCATTGGGACTACCTGTTGTTTTATCTCTACATTGGTCCCCAGAACAACCTTGGGCAAATCATGTAAGTCTCCTGTAATTGCTGCCCTTTATAAAACAACTGATCTTGACTTCCTGGCTGTACTGGAGGGACCTAGCAAATCAGCTGATGTCTGGTTAAACTCTTTCGATTTCTTGAAGGAATACATCAGACGCAAGTTAATTATCTTGGGGCCCCCAGGTCCTCAGGTGACTTGAGTTTTGAGTCCCACCTATTGCCAGAGAGTGAAGTGAGAGGTGAATTATTATTTACTATTTGGTAAATGGCCTCTCTCTAGTCCTCAGTCCAAAAAAGAAACAAAACGGAAACAAGGCTCCTTACAATAACTATGGACCGATGTCCCTAATGAACACTGATGCAAAAGTGGGAAATAAAACTTTGGCAAAGAGGCTACAGCAACATATAAAAAAAAATTATACATTATGACCAGGTTAGATTTATACCAGTAATGTAGGATTGGTTCAGTATGAAGAAAGTGGTGAATATCAGTACAAAGGAACATTCAGAGGATTTTAGCATTTAGAGCTGGGAACATCTGGTCCAATCCAGGTCTTCTGATATCAAATTTGGAGTTCTTGCCACTACAGCAGGGCTATACCTCTTTCTGACAATGTTGTTTTCACCTCCTGGCCTGGCAAAATGCTTTGTGGATGTGCTTACGACAAGTCACCCTACTCAAGTGCTCTCTATACTTTTCTTCCTTTAATAAAGTAAGTCAATTTCTGCTTGGCATCATGGGATAGAGAACGGACTTTAAGAGCGGGAACACCTGGATTCAAGTCCCACTTCTGACACATACTGGCTATGCAACCTGGGGCAAAGCCAGTGGCATCTCAGTGCTTTAGGCAACTCCAGGTTTTTAAGTTGTAGAGAAGACACTGACCTGCACTGGCAGAGGAAGTCACCTCATCTGGGAGTTCTTTAAACCAGATGCAATCCTTATTCCTCTGTGCTTTTTTTTTTTTTTTCAGTGTAGGACAGTTTAGATGTAGCTCACTGGTGTCAGACTCACATAGTGGGCAGCATATTAGATGACTTGCCCAGGATCATACAGCTAGTAATCCCAATTATATTTTAATATGGTTCTGTCAGCTGCTGGGGAGTTTTGCAGGTTCCTTGAGGCTGGTAAGCCTTGAGTTTGACACCTTTGTTGTAGCTCATCTTTTTAACTGCCTACAATTTTCCCTTCAGTTTAACTCCTTCCTCCCTATTTTGGTCATCTAGCCACCTGAACAAGATCCACTTGCTGCCCACTAAAACACAAAGTGTAGAAAGGAAAATTGAGGAGATAGAAATAAGAGAACTTTTAAATCAGGTTAAATAAGGTTCTAATTCTTTTTTTCTTTTCTTTTTTTTTTGGCAGGGGGAGGGCTAGGCAATGGGGTTAAGTGACTTGCCCAGGGTCACAAGCTAATAAGTGTCAAGTGTCTGAGATTGGATTTGAACTCAGGTCCTCCTGACTCCAAGGCTGGAGCTTTGTCCTCTGCATCACCTAGCTGTCCCTTAAGGTTCTAATTCTTGCCAATTCACCACAAAAAGGCTCTGTAAAGAATGAAGTTGTCTGTTGTGAACTTTAAGGATAAACTATGTGTTGGACTGAAATTTAATTGAGGTAATAGTCTGATTTGCCTTTGTCCATTTCTGGGGGTGAAGAGTTAAGGGGGAGGGGAGGGAAGAGATGAAGTTGTGTGTTTAGATAGCTAAGTGATTATGTAGTGCCGAGGCAGGAGTACCGTAAGCCCTGTCTTGCTATCAGGAGACTTTTTGGTGGGCTGAGAACAAGCCTGTACTGGGAAGAAAGGAATGATGAGCTTGGTCCCAAAAAACTCAAGGTTAGACCTATGCTAGATTCATCTTGTTTATGTTCTGAAGGAAAGGCCTATTTCCGTCTGGGGCTGCAAGAGAAACAAATGCCAGAAAGCCCAGTGGGAGTGGCAAGTATATGGCATTTGGAATCAGAGAACCTGGATTCTAATCCCAGCTCTGCTTCTTAGCATGGCTGTGACCTTGGGCAAGTTATTTACCCTTTCTGGGCCTCAGCTGATAAGTGATAAGGGACCTCTAAGCTCCCTCCCACCTTTAAATCTATGGTCTCCTGCTTCTAGATAGGCCATGAGGGAAAACCAGGACAGCCAGGTGAGGGGAATTCAAGCACAGGGAAGCCCAGGGCAGAGGTGGCAACTGGTAGGGCCAGAGTCAGATTCCAGTGTCTTTGGGAAATGTTTTACGAAGTAAATAAAAATACAATACAACATAGACAATGTTAATTTGTGGTTTTCTAAGGCAAGGATCTGTTTCCCTTTCAGTGTGTTACTACTGGCCTAGGGAGTTTAGGGCCCCCTCCTCTGAGAATGAGTAGATTTAATTATGTTATGCTGATATAGAATTGCTGTTATATATATTCTCTTTCCTCTTTGTCAATTTTGTTCTTGTTCAGTCATATCCAACTCTTCATGACCCCATTTGGGTTTTATCATTAAAGATACTGGAATGGTTTGCCATTTCCCTTTTCAGGTCATTTTATAGATGAAGAAACTGAGACAAACAGGGTTAAGTGACTTGCCCAGGGTCATCCAGCTAATAAGTGTCTGAGGCCAGATTTGAATTCAGGAAGACTCATCTTCCTGACTCCAGGCCTAACACTACTATGCCACCTTGTTGCCCTTTTATTTTGTCAATAAATCCTGGAAAATACACTCTTGTTACCTAGAGGGAGAAGGCTGACCTGAAGAAGATTAGCAGAAAAAGAGGGCTAAGAACTGGGATGCATTAGAAGAATAACCAGCCAGATTATTCTAACAGGTAAGGGGACAGGGAATTAGGGTTGAGGTACAATCCTCAGATCTTTGAATTCAGGGAGCCAAGCTGGCTTCAAGGGCCAAGAAAAGTCCAGGAGCTCTCATGACTCCTAGCTTGGGGTTAGACATCAGGAAAGTTTAGTCAGAATTGCAAAGGGCAGGAACCATGGGTCTGAGAGCCAAGTTCTCTTTTTACTCTGCCCAGGAGGAAGAATTGGAGGACCAGAAAGCTTGCAGAGAGATACTTCTGGAGCTGGAGTCCTGAATCCTTCCTAGATTCTGAGAAAGGAATTAATTCAGAGAGGCTGATTATTCTGACTGACACAGGACCAGCTTTTTTATTGCTAGGAGGCAGCCAGAACCCTTAATGGATTGGGTCTGTGCCATCACAGCCAGAATTGGTAATGGACAGTTTTGGGGCCACTGTCTTATTCCTTCATCATTTGCAACCTAATATGTATTTATGTTATCTTTTCTCTCAGTACAGTATGGTCGGTAGTAAAGGGCATTCTTCGAAAGGATGGCCCTCTGGGTTTCTACCATGGACTCTCCAGCACTTTACTTAGGGAAGTACCTGGATATTTCCTGTTCTTTGGTGGCTATGAACTAAGCAGATCATTTTTTGCATCAGGAAGATCAAAAGATGAGTTAGGTACGTACTTCATTTTTGAACAGATCGCAGACTGTTGCGTGTGCTTTGATTTATGCCAGCGTGGCCACTGAAGTTAGGCTTTACCCTCCACACGATCTAGGCATCCACGAGATATGGTATAGTGGCTTTGGACAAAGATGGAGCATGTATTGTCAAATGTTCTTAGTCTTGTCTTAAGGTTGGGTAAACCTCTGATTGGTAGAGGTTTGAAGGATGCATACCAAGTCACCTTCCTCAGTATAACATTTCTTCATTAACTCAGTTAAGCTTTTTTTGGGCGGGGGGAGGGTGAGTGTCTATTTGAGGAAGGAGAGAAATGAGAAAATATTTGCATGGGATTTCTACATGGCAGAAAAATAACCTTGGGAGAAATTTCAGTAGCAAATTATAAAAAGTCTTAGATAATACAGGATTTGATGAATCCCTTGAAGAATCTGAGTCATCTCTCGGTTCAATATAATCACCCTAATATGTATGGATGCTTGACTGGATCCTTATTTTTCCTAGGGAACAATGTGTTTTCTCATCTCTTCTATGATTAGGACAACCCTTTTTTTGTTTGTTTTTCAACAGCAAGGTCCATTTATTTTAAATTTTAATTTTCAGTTCCAAATTCTCTCCCTCCCTCTACCTGCTTCCTCATCCATTGAGGAGGCAAGAAATATGGTGCCCATTTTAAGTATGAAGTCATGTAAAACATATCTCCACATTAGCCATATTGTGGTGGGGTGGGCAGGGGAAGCAAAAAAAAAAAAAGGTGAAAAATTATGCTTCGTTACTCAGTCCATCAATTCTCTGTCTAGAAGTGCATGGCATTTTTCATCATGAGTCCATGAATTGAATCCAAACTTCCAGTCGAAGGGCCCCACTTGAGGACCTAAAGGGCACATGTGGCCTTGAGTCTGCAGGTTCCCCACCCCTGGGTAGGGGTTCTAAAACTGTAGGGCCTTTGGAGAGAAAAGATGAGTTCTAGGATTTGGGGAAAGTGGTGACACATGAAAGCTTTATTTCCTATTAGATGTTTTTGGGAAGACTTGGTTACGTTATTCCATTTTCCCCAATCTCCATGACAAAGTAATTATGTTATAAAGCTGTGGTGAAGAATTGTGTAGAGCAAGACCTTTCAAGTGAACTTGGAGTTTCTTGTCCTGAAAGATAGAAGGAAAGCCAACAGTCCAGAAACCAGAAATAGTTTGTGCTTCTGGCTGTAGGTGACAGGGTGGCATTTGTCCCCTTAAGAATCCCCTCCTGGGATTGTATTCTTTGGCCTAAGATTTTTTTCTTGAGAAACTCTCATTGGTGATCTTTCCCAGGTGTTGAGCTGATGATGTCAGTTGCCCTGTATTTCTGGTAAAGTGGTGTTTTTCTGGCTTTCCTCTTTAGGACCCATCCCTTTGATGTTAAGTGGTGGCTTTGGAGGCATCTGCCTCTGGATTGCTGTGTATCCAGTGGACTGTATCAAATCAAGAATCCAAGTTCTTTCCATGTCTGGGAAACAGGCTGGCTTCGTGGGGACATTTGCAAGTGTTCTGAAAAATGAAGGTGAGTCTGCGAATGTAAAAAAATAGAATGCAAAGCTTATATGGTGGCTGGTACTACCTAATGCTTCCAGAGTTTCTTTTTAAAAATTTTTGGCTGAGGGCCAAACTTTGATGGGGAAATTCAAGCTACCACCCTCTTCTTTTTCTTGATCTGTAAGCTCCTCAAGGGCAGGGATTGTTACATTTTTTTTTTGTTTTTGTATCCTTAGCACTTAACACAGTGCTTGGCACATGGTACGTGCTTAATAAATGCCAGTTGATGAATTGATAGACATGATGGATTACTAGCATTGTAGCTGTTGCAACACCCATTCGTCCTTGTTACATCCCCTCTTTGTTGCCTCAAAGTTGTTCCCTAGCAGCAGTTCTAAAGCTGGCATTGCACAACTTCAAGACTGTTAGCCTCAGTTTTCTTAACTCCTAAGTGATTAGAGGGCTTTGGTTGGCATAAAGACTTTGTGTTCAACACGACCCATTGTATCTAGACAGGTTCTTCGCACATCTTTTCCAGTGATAATCAATTTCCAGTCCCTTAAAAATGACAGTGAACGTTAATGACCATGGCTTTTTAATGACCATGACTGGCCATGTATAAATGTCTAATATTGAAGAAAACCTGTTTGTCACTAGTATGTCAGGAGCAATGGGAGGGTCTAGGGACCTCCTTGAGAAAAGGAAGTTCAGCTGTGGGCCTAATTCTGGGGATGGAGAAGCAGATGTTTGCAATTCCTGGCCCCATAGAAGTAAAGAGTGTCAGGATTTAGTACCAGGGCTGGTATTTGGTACTTGGAGGTGAGACTAACCTGGGGGGAGGGGGGAACGATGAGGGGGAAAAGGTTAAACAGAGTATTTGCTTTGCTTTTGTTGAATCTTGCCCAGCTCTTCATAAGCCCTTTTGGGGTTTTCTTGGCAAAGCTACTGGAATGGTTTGCTATTTCCTTCTCCAGCTCATTTTACAGATGAGACCATTGAGGCAAACAGGATTAAGTGACTTGCCCAGGTGCACACAGCTAGTTAGTGTCTCAGGTTGGATTTGAACTCAAAAAGATGAATCTTCCTGACTCCAGGCCTAACACTCTATTCACTGTGCCACCTAGCAGCCTGAGTATTCACAGAATATTCAGGTTGTATCCATGAAGCCTAAAGAAAGTGGGAACTTGGAAAGAATGAGTATATAGTAAGTTTGGAAAGAGGGGATTGAATGAACGTATTTGAGAGAGTGAATCAGGGAGAACCAAGGCAACTTCAGCCAGAATGAGCTGTACTCAGAAGCTACAAGGGTTCAAAGCAGATATCTAGGTCTTAGTATCACTTTTGTTGATCCCCATCCTCCCCAATCACCACCCCCAAAACACAGAATAAATGCCAGTCAAGAAAGCAGTAATGAAAAGCTGTATATCAGATACTATATCATAGAACATATCTGTAGCGAGCATTTTCTGAACTCTTCCTCAGTTCTGTTTTGGGAAGTTAGTGTTGAGGGGAGTACATTATAACCTGGGACATAAAGTGTGAGCAATATTAGCTAATTTTCAGGATTATTAAAATATTTATATGGGTATTAGGTCCTTGTAAGTATGAAAGGGTTGGAAAAAATAACCTCCTGAGTAATCTCCTTGTGAGTTCAGGAGGCCAGTACCCATCCTTCTAACAAACAACCTTAGTACCAATTGCCACTTGGCAATTCAATTGCATTTTGTATTCTAATTTCAAATGAACAAGAGATATGCAGAGTTTGAGTATTGGCGGTCCAAAACAGGGCACTTGAAAATATATGTTTTGTTCACTCTGTAAGGCCGTTGTATACATTTATTATATCAGTCACTCATTGTCAGTTCTAAATGCTTTTTGTTATGTTCTCTCCAACACTGCCCAGATGGTTTGTTAAATGAGCACTGGTCTCTCAGTTACCTCAAGGGTATAATGAAGTTGCCTGGGACTTCTGTTAGTATGGTTGGAGAAAACCATTGGCTGCATCTATAATTGTTGTTTACATACAGTTATAGGCATTTTTAGCAGACAAACAGCATCGTGTAGGGGATAGTCAACCTTGTAACCAGGAAGGCCTGGGTTCAAGTCCCATCTCTGATACATACTGCCATTGTGACCTTTGGTTTGTCACTTAACTCCTTAGTGCCCTGGGCTGGAGAGAAGGTGGTGACCTGTCTTGGGAGCTCCCTCATACAGGGTGGTTCCCATATCACTGAAAGCATGGGTTCTGTACCCTGTTACTGTCTCAAAAAAAAATTTTTTTTAACCAAGATTTATATTTCCATGTCTTGCCATTTGGAATTTCATATTCCTTATTATAATGCCAAATGATCTTTTTTTTTGTTTTGTTTTGTCTTGTAGGGATAGGGGCCTTATATTCTGGACTGAAACCTACTTTGATCCGAGCTTTCCCTGCCAATGGGGCCCTGTTTTTGGCATATGAATACAGTAGGAAGTTGATGATGAGCCAATTTGAAGCCTACTAAAGTAACTTGGTAGAACTGGATCAAAAGACTGCTGCTGTCCATCTCTAGGTTTCAGAGTATGGAGATCAACATGGAATTGTTCTAACCTCATAAGACTTTTTCCATCCTCTTCCTACACCACCCCTTTTCATTTCCCCCAAAGAACCGAAATTGTCCATCCACTAGGTTCTGCTAGTGCTTTTATGAGAGATAAAGTTCTATCTCTTCTTCTAACCAGGAATACACCCAGTGAGCTATAAGTCTCCCCAGTGCATCTGTCTTGCAAATGACTTGAGATGGGTCCATGGAGGCTCATAGCATCCCCCTGGCTGTCCTTGTCTTTGAAGTGTGGCTAGTGTAAGGGCTTGAAGTGAAGGATATAGTTTGGCTTCTCGTCTTTAACTTAGACTTCACCAGAAAAGACCTAGGGTTGATCGTGTGTTAATATAGCATTAAAAAAGTTTCAGAGCTAATGTTTCCCCAGAAAATCCATTAAGATAGTCTTACCTGAAATAGCCCTAACAGTTATTTTTTAAAGTAGGACAAACTTCCACTCTGATGTTACGCAGGTGAAGTTGATCTTGAGATCAAATCATCCCAAATCCAATGACTATCATTGGCATTTACCTCCCTTTTTCTCTTAGATCCCCTTCTCAGAAAAAAATCTTCATGTTTCCATGGTTGGATTGAGTTGAATGAGGTCATAGGGGAGTGCTGGAGTGCTACTCTGAAGAGCCAGATCTTGAACCTCTGGTCTCTACTCACTGTACAGGGCTGTCTGAATTTTAAAGCGGCATGGTCTAGGGCAGTGCTTCTTAAACTGTGGGTTGCAACTCCATATGGCATCATGAAAGATTTGGCAACAGTAAAAGGTTTCTGAGTGTGCAATGACCAAAAATTAATTAAAAATCAAACTCATAATGAATCCGAGATGTTTCTGGCAGTGCTTGCCTGTGCTACATCATACAACTTCACTGCAGCCTTGGTTCTGAGCACAAAGGATGCCCATGTTGCACTGTGCATGCCCTCATGCCACGCAGTGCCAATGAACACTGCCAAAAAACATGAAAAGGGGTCCCAGGTGGAAGAAGTTTAAGAAACCCTGGTCTAGGGTACCAATGAGGAATCTGCTTCAGGACATCCTTTGGTCCACTTTTCTATGGTCTTCAATTTTGGAAGAGGCAAAAATGGAAGACATCTACTTTGTACATGTACAAACAAAGTAAATCACCCTGTGCCCTTGTAATCGTCAACTGATGCTGGTGTGGGGCATTCACTGCTCAATCACATAAGTAGCGCTGGATAGGAAGATAATCTCTCCATAGTGAATAATGTCAATGTTAACACATCCTGAAGTTCACAAAAAGGTCTATATGTTGTCATTTAATGTTTTAAGTTGTTTGATCCTTTTGAAATTTGTCCCAGAGGATGACTAAATTTTAGAAATGGTGCTTAATGATTTCTGATTTTTAATGTGTATGTGATGTGAATACAGAATTGCAAAACTGATTTCTGTAGGCCAGAAGAAAAATAATCTCATAGGGGTGTGTGTGTGTGTGTGTGTGTATGTGTGTGTGTGTGTGTGTGTGTGTGTGTGTGTGTGTATAAAATTACAGTCAGTTTATCTTAAAGGACTATTTACCTGGTTTCTTGCTAATGGCTGTTTTTTGTCTTTTACCCAATGGTCATTGTGATAGCACAGAACTGGGTGGTTGGAGGGACTGCCTGAAGATATGGCTCACTCATAAGTGACTTATCAACCAACATAAACCAAGGAAGATAGTAGTCACACCGTCTGTGGTTGGACACCTTAGGATGTTTCCGTGCTGGTATTCACAGATCCTTATTTTAGCTCCTTCCCCAACACTATTTTTGTTGTTGTGATTTTTTTTTTAAACAATGGCAAAATCTCCCTTAAAAATGGATGATTAGCAATAACTGTCAGCAGATTTGAAAATTCTGCCTTAAAAATGCTGGTTTCTTTCATTTTAATAATACTTATGAAGCTAGAGAGGCACTAACTAGAAACAAGAGTGTAGGAGAAGTAGTGATTTTGCTGAAATTAGACAAGCTGCTGTTAGGTTTGGTGATGATGCTCTGGGGTAGGGCTCAAGCTACCTGAGAGGCTGTAGACTGACTGGCCTTAGCCTCCCTCTGAGTCAGGGCTTCCTAACCTGGGATCCATTACTCTCACAGATAGATTTTAGGGGGCCATGAACTTAGATGGGAAAAATATTACATCTTTATTTTCATTAACCTCTACCTGATATTTAGCATTTCCTTTAATGCTATCTAAGATTAGATCATTAGTTTGGATCTACTTTCTGATTCTGAGAAGGGGTCCATAGGCTTCATTAGAATGCCAAAGGGATCCAGGACACACAAAAAAAGGGAACCCCTGTTCAGAGTGAATATTTTGGCATTTCTCTTAAAATTATTTGTTGTCTTTTGACTGAGGTAGAGAAAAGAAACAAAATGCACAAAATGCCTGCCTTATCCCCTGTCAAAGGAATCTTGTGCACAAAGACCCTCCTATCCCTGTGGACCTGGTCTAATCTCCTGACATTAACCCTGCCCTCAGTATAGCCTTTCTGCAAAGTACATGTCCTTTCAACATGTCAGGTACCTGGGATTTTATTGGTGAGGTAAGTCTTAATGAGTTGACTGAGGCACAAAAGTTTTAAGTGACTTCTCAAGGGTCAAGCAGCTAGTGTCTGAGGCCAGATTTGAACTCAGGTCCCCCTGACTCCAGGGCCAGTACTCTATCCACTGTACCACCTAGCTACCCCTCAGTAGTTTTGAGAACCCTCAATATGCAATATAACAGCAAGGAGCAATGAGAGGCATTAGAGACCCAAAGATAAAAGCAAACAAACAAAAAGCAAGTTTCCCCCTGTTAAGAATTGGGTGAAAATGTAAAATGTAGTTTTTTCCTATGGGCAAAGGGAAGCCCTTAACATTTTTGAGCAAGGGACTGGTATAATTCAACCTATGCTTTCAGAGCATTTTGGAAGCTACGGTTTGTTTGTTTGTTTGTTTGTTTTTTGGGGGTAGGAGATTTACATATATTAATTATATATTAATATATGTAAATTTAGGGTTTGAGAGGCAAAAGGCTGGAAGCAGTCAGTTGAAAAGCATGAAATGTTCCCTCATGCCTTTTTCAGCTTTAAATCTCATGACTTTAAAAAAAAAGTTAAGTCTTTTATCTAGCTTGAAAAGCAAAAAAGGAAGTTATCATTGAAAGATGGAATTATGAGATCAAGAAAAAATACTATTTAAACAAGTCACAGAGATTAAAGGCATCAATAAAAAATACATATGTGTGGGCGTATATATATATAGAGAGAGAGAGAGAGAGAGAGAGAGAGAGAGAGTTTTAGTAGGAAGGGTTTGTCAGTCACACAATAAGCATTCACTAAGCACTTACTGCATGCCAGGCACTGTTATCAGTAAGTTTCTGGGAAGTGATAATTATTTTTCTCTTGTGAGGGTACTATGTTCCAAATGTAACTGAAGACTCAAATGCTAATTTTGCATAAAATTAGTCATAAAATCATAGATTTAGAGCTGGAAGGGACCTTAGTTGCAACCTAGACCAACACCCTCATTTTACAGATGAGAAAACTGAGGCTCAAAGAAATTAAGTGACTTGCCTTCTGCTAAAAAGAGGCAGAACCAAGATCTGAACCCAGGTCCTTTGAGTCCACACACAATCCACTTTCTAGTACAATACATTGCCTTGCTTTTCTTGAAAGTTCCTGTAAGAAAGTATGTAAGAAAATGAACATATGCCTTTTACCTGTAACGTTTAATAGAATTCTTAAGTACACAGAATACAAATAAAAACACTAAGAAATGGGGATTTAGAAGATGCCTCTATGTAGGACACAGTTCACAGGAACATGATTCTTTAATAGAAGGGAGTAACATTTAAACAAATATATACTTCTGTAGATCACAGCTTCTTAAACAGTAATTCCACTGCAAAATCTTCATGGTAAATGTGCCATGTTTTTCGTTTATGGGGATTATCCAATTCATTTCTTTGTAGATAGAGCCTAAGAGGGGGGAAATAATAAATTTGATGTTTTCTGAGCCTTGAAAAGAGTAGGACTTTATTAACTATTGGTTGAGAACCCTCTTCCAGGCTTTTTACACTTCTTCCCTCTCCAATAAAATTCAAAGCAACAAGCAAAATTTTATATAATGTGTATTAATCCTCCTAGTAGTTTATAGGTGCAAACTTCTTTCCCAGGTTAAAAAAAAATACACACACAATTTAAAAATTCCCACAATTAAAAAAAACCCCTTCTTTAGTAGTACTTTAGTGTCAAACCAAAATCATCCTGAGTTTATATCTTCTTTTGTAACTAGCCCATTCCTTTTTTCTCTGCCCTCGTATTTCACTCCCTCAATGGAAAACCAATGAATGGTACAGGCTAGGTATTGTTGTGGAGGAAATAACTCGGTGAAGGACTTTATTGAATTCTTCTGACCATTTCTTTTATAGAATTAAAGAAATGCACATTTTACACCTAGAGCATTAGACCAGTTTCTGGGTATGATGGAACTCAGGCAGAGACTAAACCCCAAGAGTAATATTCAGCTCTTTCTCTGGAAATTTCTACTAGATACAACACTACTGTTTCTCCAGACATGAAATTAAACATTTTTAAATCAATTTTTTTTTTTGGTACAAAGAGTGGTACCTCAGCAATGCCAACAACAATTTCTAGGTGACCAACTTTTCCCTCATCCCTCTACCATAGATGAACAGAAATCCAGATACCCTCTCCTAGGCTTGGGATTCCCACACACATGGGAAATTTCTTTGGTATATTAACCTCAAAACCAATTTTTAACTTCGCTTGTGTCAACTGTAACTGACATATCAGTTTTTATTCTTTGAAACCAACAGTGCTCATGTGTAAATGTGAGGTGATAATTAAATTACTGGCCATTTACCCAATGCCTCCTTTCTTGGTTCTCCCTTTTAACACATACACACACAGACACACACACACCCACACACACCCCTAGCTTTTCATTAGGGTGAATTTAATTTAATTAGTTCATACTTCATACCTGTTGTTTTCTATAAAAGATGTGTTGAACCAAAAGAAAAATGGACACCTCTCGTATAGTTTAGGAAGGGCCTAAAAATTCATAAAATATATAGTATGTTAAAAGGGTTACTTTTTCTTAGCAAAATTGATTCCAAGAACTAGTTATTTCAATTCTAAAATGACTAAAGTCTCAGCCCCCACCCTTCAGTTAAATATTGGTCATTTATATTAGTTTAGCCAGTGCTAGACAGAATGTTATCAAAGACTTAATATACCCAAATATATCATTGTCTATAAGAAACTTTTATTATTAAAGACAACTAATAATTATAAGCATTTAATATTTTCAAAATGCTTTTAATTCATTGTTTGATCTTAATTTTGTGAGGTTAAGGGATTTTCATACACATCCATACCCTTTACAAAATTTTATTAGAGAAACTGAGGCCCACAGGGGTTAAATGTCAATAATAAGTTATGGAATCAGGACTAATAGCCAAGGTTCCTGATATTTTGACCATTGTTTTTTCTATTATTTAAATACAGTGATTGAGAGTATAATTCCAGGTTACTCAGTTGTATGGGGCCAGAAGAGGGTGGTCTATTCCATAAATCATCCTTAGCTGCTTCTCCTGTCTTTTACCATTTTAGTGCTGATTAACTCCTCCCAACGGAGGAATAGCAGGAATTGAATGGATCTAAAATGTGTTGGTCAATTTAGCTGATACCCAGCTGTTATTGGTTAATAGTTCTAGAGAAGGTTTTGGTTGCTAAGGGGATTGAACTTTTTGGAAAAATTGGGATTGGGGACTTTGTTGTAGATTTCCATGATCTATGTAATCTTTGTTCCCTACTTTCATTGAAAATTAAAGAGTTAGTTCAGAAACTGCTAGAGAAAACTTCAAGCTAAGAATTACATTGGTCACTTCTTGTACTTACAGAACTGGAGAAGAACTTTACTTTCACATCACCGCAGATGTCCGGACAGTTATTTAGTCTGATATTTACAGAATTACTGTCATCATCACAAAATACCTGTGATTGAAAAACACAACTTAGGAGCATTAATAATCAAGTTGCACAGGCTAGAGCCAAGATGACAGAGTAGAGGCAGGAACTCACCAGAACTCATCTAAATTTTCTTCCAAACAATGCCTCAAATCAAATTCTGGAGCAGCAGAAACAACAAAAGGTTGGGGTGAAACAATTTCCCAGTCCAAGACAACTTAGGAGGTCAGTAGAAAAGGTTAATGATAGTAGCAAGCCTTGGAGGTGGCTGCATCAGTAGCAACAGTAGCTTTGGTTGCTCTCAGCCCACAGAAGATAAGGGGTTAAACAACTGGTCAGAAGACAGTACAGTGAACACTTTGCTGGCAATGGGTTCAGGACCCTGTTACACTGGCTGTATTCAGTTCCAGATCACAGCCCCAAGGTGAAGAGAAGCACTAATGCTTATGGTTACAGGGGAGTAGGGGTCCTGGTCACAATTCCAGGGTGGAAAAGAGCATTTGTGGTCACTCACAAGGAAACAGGGGCCATAGTCTCAGTTCCAAGGCTGAAAGGGACACTATAACTTGCAGGAGAGTAGGATCCCAAGGCCAGAAGGAGTACTCAATAACACTTGTGGCTACAGTGGAACAAGGTCCCTTTCCGAGTATAGACCAGAGCACAGGCCAGGAGAGAAGTGACCACACCTTTTCTTAGATAATACCACCTTGAAAGCACTGAAAACTTAGAGACCCTCAGAACTAGCTCTGAAAATAATAGCATGAGCTGGAGAAGGACATGGCAAATCATCTCAATATCCTTGCCAAGAGAACCCCAAATGGGGTCACAAAGAGTTGTACATGACTGAAAAGTGACTCATCAACAACAAAAAATCATCAAAACAATCTAGTACTAGCTAAGAAATTGAGTGGTGGGTCAGTGGAATAGGTTAGTTACACAATATACAATAATGGACTATAGCAATCTAGTCTTTGATAAACCCAAAGATCCACGTTTGGGGGACAAAAATTGCTGGGAAAACTGGAAAGCAGTTTGGCAGAAACTGGACCTAGACCAACATATCACACCACATACCAAGATAAGGTCAAAATGGATACGTGATTTAGATATAAAGGATGATGTTATAAGCAAATTACTTGAGCATGGGAAATTTTACCTGTTAGATACATGGATAAGGGAAGAATTTATTACTAAACAAGAGATAGAAAGCATTACATTAAATTTAAAAGTTTTTGCACAAACAAAACCAGTCCTGCCAAGATTGGAAGGAAAGTCAGAAACTGGGAAAAAAGTTTTACAAGTGTCTCTGACAAAGGCCTCATTTCTCAAATATATCTCTATTTAGCTGAATCAAATGTATAGGAATATGAGTCATTTCCCAACTGATAAATGGTCAAAGGATATGAACAGGCAGTTTTCAGACAAAGAAATTGAAGCTATCTATAGTCATATGAAAAAATGTTCTAAATTACTATTGATTAGAGAACTGAAAATTAAAAAAAAAACTTTGAAGTGCCACCTCACACCTATCAGATTGGCTAATTTGAAAGAAAAGGAAAATGACAAATGTTGGAAGGGATGAGGGAAAATTGGGACATTAATGTATTGTTGGTGGAGTTATGAACTGATCCAACTATTCTGGAGAACAATTTGGAATTATGCCCAAAAGACTATAAAACTGAATAACCTTTGACCCAACAATGCCACACTAGTTCTGTACCCCAAAGAGATCAAATTAAAAGGAAAAGCCCTTATATGTACAAAAATATTTATAACAGCTCTTTTTTTTTTGTGGTGGCAAAGAATTGGGAATTAAGGGAGTGCCCATCAATTGGAGAATGTCTAAACAAGTTGTGGTATATGATTGTGATGGAATACTATTGTGCTATAAGAAATGACAAGCAGGATGCTTTCAGAAAAACCTGGGAAGACTTACATGAACTGCTGCAAAGTGAAGTGAGTAGAACCAGGAGAACAATGTACATAGTAATAGCAATATTGGATGGTGATCAACTGTGAATGACTTAGCTATTCTCAACAATACAATGATCCAAGAAAATTCCAAAAGACTTTTAAAAATAATATTTATCTTTTCCCTAATTGCATGTTAAAACAATTTTTAACATTTTTTAAAAAAAGTTTTGAGTTCCAAATTCTTTCCCTTTCTCCCTCCTTCCCTCTCCTTCCCCCTCTCTGAGACAGTAAGTAATCTGATATAGGTTATACATGTGCAATCATGCAAAATATTTCCATATGAGTCATTTGTACAAAAAAGACTACAACAACAAAAAGAATGAAAGAAAGAAAGTGAAAAATAGTATGCTTCAGTCTGTATTTAGATAACATCATTTCTTTCTCTGGAGGCAGATAGCATGTCTTATCATGAGTCCCCTCAGATTGTCCTGAATCACTGTATTACTGAGACTAGCCAAGTCATTCACAGTTCTCCATTGTACAATATAGTTACTATGTACAACATTCTCCTGGTTCTGCTCACTTCACTTTGCATCAGTTCATGTAAGTCTCCAAAAGACTTATGATGAAATATGATATCTAACTCCAGAGAAATAACTGATGATGTCTGAATACAGATCAAAGCATACTTTTAAAATTTTCTTTATTTATCTCATTTTGCTTTGTTATTTTTTTTGTCTGTGTTTTCTTTTGCAACATGGCTAATATGGAAATATGTTCTGCAGGACCGCACATGTATAATCCATATAAAATCACTTACCTTCTCAAGGAAGGAAAGAATTTGGAACTCAATTTTTCAGAAAACCTGATGTTGAAAAGTTGTTTTAAAGCAACTGAAAAAATAGATTTAAAAAAAAGAAAAAACAACAGCCTGAAAAATCAACAAATTAATACACCAAAAGCAAGAGCCAATAAGGAAATATCAAAATAAAAGGATAAATTCATAAGATAATGAATAAAAAAAATTGAGGTGCATCTGCCCCTCATTTCTCAACCCCTTACAATCCAGATGTAATCCCTACCAGTCTACTGAAACTGCTACCTCTAAGATCACTAAATACCCTCTTGGTGTCAAATCCAATGGTCTCTTTTCAATCCTCTACCCTTCTCAATCCTTTTGGAGCTTCTGACATTTTTCTTCTTGCTACTTTCATGTCTTGGCTCTCTCCTGGTTTTCTTTCTCCTCTGACTGCTTTATCTTGGTTTCTTATTTATTCTCCTACTTCCTATGCCTAAGTGGTCTTGCAAAGTTATCTCCTTATCCCTTTTCTCTTCTTTCTCAACAATCTTTTCCTTAGCAATCTCATCTGCTTCTAAGGCTTCAGTTATCATTTCTCTGCAGATAACTCCCTTATCCACATAGTCTCAGGCCCTTTCTAAAACTCTGTGTGTATTTCCAATTGTCATTGGATGTTTCCATTTCAACATTCAGTTGGTATTTCAAAATCAACTTGTTTCAGAAGTGAACCTATTATCTTCCCCTAAAATCTGTCTTCTTCCTAATTTCCTATTTCTGTTAAAATAATTTTATAGATGAGCCCCAAGGAGACAGAATGACTTGGCCCAGCTCTCTAGTTCCTGCCCTGGAATCCTGAATTCCTGTCTGTTGAGAGTTTTCCATAACTACTCTGACCTAGACCCATCATGCTGCTGTTCATGTGACTGTCCTCATTCTCTTGCCCCTCTCTCAACTTTTTACTTTTAGCTCTGGGAATAGTAATGAATTCAACATGCCCATTCCTGGAAAGGACATGTAAATTAACTACCCTATGGCTTCACTACCCATCCCTGCCATTTCCTAGTTCAAAACAGCCCTCCCTGGCCTCCATTCCCTTATTAGAATGTAAGATTCTTGAGGGTAGGGCATGTCTTTTTGTATTTGCATCTCCAGTATATAGCACAATGCCTGAGATATAGTATATGTTTAATAAATAATTTTCATTTCTCAGTTCATTCACATTTTGACATCTTGGTTCAAAATTTAAGAGTAATTTTTTTATTCTTCCCTCTCCCTCTAAATTCCATCTCTTGCCTAATCTTGTTAATTCTACTTACGAAATGTCTCCTGTATGCATCTCATTTTTTTCTGGTCCCACTGTTATCACTCTAGTTCAGGTTCATATCACCTGTCACCTGGATTATTGTAATAGACTCCTATCTGAGTCTTCCTGATCTGTAATCATAATTCAAATCTTTGACCATTGACCTTTGATATGTCTTGCTTTTATTACATCATGTCACTCCTCCAGAACTGCCACTGTCTCTCTTTGCTGCATATTGAATAAGGCATATCCTTTTTTTTTTCTTTTTTTTGGTGAGGCAGTTGAGATTAAGTGACTTGCCCAGAGTCACACAGCTAGTAAGTGTCGAGTGTTTGAGGTTGGATTTGAATTCAAGTCCTCCTGACCCCAAGGCCGGAGCTCTATCTACTGCACCAGCTAGCTGCCCCAAGGCATATTCTCTTTAGTGTGGCATTTGAAAGCCACATCCTATCACTCCATCATCTGGCTACAAACTGATTTTCTAGGCTTATTTCATAGTATTCCCTTGCATGTACAATATGTTCTGCTCAAATGGAGGTCCAACCCTGCCATTTTAGGTGAAGAAAATGAGGGCTGGAGGTGTGAAAGGAGAGACAGTAAAATAATTTGACTAAGCAGGCTAGTAGACATCAAGGTTGGGATTTGAATTTAGGGGTTTAGACTCAAGTCCATTGCTCTTTCTACAACATTATGCTGCCTGTCTTCTAGAGTTCTCTGAGGGCAGGGGCTCTATCTTATTCTTATATGTTTTCCCTTTGCACACTAAGCCCAGTGCCTTACTCATATCACAGAATCTGAGTTCAAAGGTACGTCAGGAGTCATCTGGATCAGTCTAGGCCCAAATATAAATTCCCTCATTAAATACTTGCTAATAAATATATTCTGAGCCCATCAAATTCAGATTGTTTAGAGCTAGGGATTCACGTTGGGGATAGGATAGAAATAAAAATTTAGGGGGTATTTGGAAATAAGGTAGGGTACAGCCTAACTATGTATGGCCTCAAAGGCAAG